AGTCGCTGATTTTAGCGCCATTTTTAGTTAGTTGTCATTAGAATGTAATTGTCTTTATTAAAAAAAAATCTTTCAAAATGAAAAATATTTTTCTGAAAATTATTTGAAGAATGCTTGCTGATTTAAGGGTTAATTTATCTGATCTTAAACAAATATTACTTTAAGTTTTTAAATTTTGCATTTTTAACACGGCGGTAGGTGTTTTTTTAAGGTGTTGATAGCTTGACTGACAGACGGAAGTTTATGCATTTTTTCTATGATGGACATATCTGTAAAAATTGCTTGAGGAAAATAACGTGAAGCCTTTTTTTTATATATTTTTTAATTACCCAGTACAGTTAAAAATTTTGAAAAATATTCTTCATAATGTATTTTTCTTTTTTTTTTTTAGTTTTAGTAATTTGGCTTTAAATTTACTGTTGTTATCATCTTATTTTCTGATAATGTCGTGTATGGACGCATGTATTTACATAAATCGGCACGTTTATACAAAAAAATATTCAAAATTCTTTGAAAAATATTAGCGGTCGCTGAACTGTAGTAAGCTTTTCCATTTATGATTAGTAAATATAGACTATTAATACCATTAAAGGAGCTTTAATAATTTAACCTATTATAATACAACAAATATTTAATGGCCACCTCTTGTACGTTTTTCATAATGGCTTGCTTTTGTTTACGTTTGTTTTCAAATTAAAGCAATCAAAAATAAATACCATGCTTCGTTTCTGGTTCTGCCTAGTCAGCTCGAGACTTTCATATGGATGTCATGTATGGCTCTAATTCTGAACTGTCAGCTGTATACAACCGCTTTCTAAGATCAATGGTTAAAAATGACTTTAAACGAGTGAAGTCTGAGGGTTTTGGCAAAGACCATACTTCTTCATAACATTGCGGATCTGCGCTACAGAATCACATACAAGGAATTGTACCAAATGCCAGAAATACTATCACTTGATGACTTCCAACAGAGGCAGCAACTAAAATGTATAACACATGTGACTCTACAAGAAAATAATGACATAATGAAAATGTTGACATTGCACATTACTTTGCATGAAACGTTAGGAAGGAAATCCCTATCAATATCGGAAAGAACGAGAACAGCTACGTGACTTGAGAAACCTATTTTCATGAAAAAGAGAGAAAGGTTTTATGAATTTAAACCGAAAGCAGAACTGGCTGCTCGGTCAATAAATGCCAAATGTTTCCTTATAAGAAAACGGCTAATATTACCATTGCTATTAACAAATGAAAATTATTTCATTACCTATGATTGTTTTAGGATTTTGTTTTTAATATTTTAAATGAATAATTAAAAGTCTCTTCTTGTTTGTCCAGAAACTTGTGAATTGATTTATTTGTAGTTTTTTTTTTATTTTTTAACCTGGATTCTGGATTCGGTTTGTCCTGAATCTGGGTATCGATAATATTTCAAGATTGATTGATTCATTTATTTATTTATTCTTCAACCTTTAAAGCCAGAAAATATTTTTAACTTCTAAGAATTCTTTTGAAATATAATAATGATTTACTGACACAAATCCTACTAATTAACCCATATCTGGGGAGGGAAGAGGTGGATTCATACCTTCTCCCAACGTTATTTTCACGTAAAAGAATGTAACGAACATGATTGCAACTCGACTCTCCAATTTCCAATCTAGCCGTCATCCATTATACCACCCGCACTGATATTCCAAGACGGTCATCCGTCTAGGTACTGTCCAGACTCGACGTTGCTTAACTTCGGTGATTGTACTAGAACTGGTATTTCAACATGAGATGTCTGTAGATCCATATTTTAAGAAATAGAGCACGATTACTAAGCCTATTTTCTACTCTTTTTCGATTAAAGATCAAAATTGAAGGAAGAAATGACATCTACTACAAGTCTTTAATTTAGAGTTGTCTCTAAAAAGATTAATCCAAGCTGATAGAATACCAACATTGGCTCAACCACTCTTTACAAGGTATACGGAAGAGCGTCTCTGAACGTACAAGACGTCTAGCTTTGAAACAGATGAGCTACAGCAGCAGAAAAGCACACTGGTGCCATTCCTATCAGATAAGAACATGGGCACCTCAAGGCGGTATAATGCTTGTCTCGCTAGAACAGTTACGACTGAGTAGTGAGTTCGATCCTCACTGGGTGCCCCATACTTTCGGCCTTGTGCCACATCTAAGCTATACTTAGAAAATCACTTTTGGGCACCTCGGCGTGGTGTAATGGTTAGCAAGCTTGTCTCGCTAGAACAATTACGAGTGAGTTCGATCCTTACTGGGTGCTCCATACTCCCGGCCTTGTGCCACATCTAAGCAGCGCTTAGAAAATCACTATCAGATAAGAACAAGGATCTGAAGCTAAAAATTCGCTAAGGCTAAAAAAAAACTAGACAAGAAAAAACGTTTACATTGTTTTTACTGCGACATTTGAATGATAGGACCATAATTTGACTTAAACAGCATAAAAATATGCATCCATCCTGTGTTGAATCAATGGTTTAGGCTGTTGTTGTTGGTTTAATATTCTTGGCATACTTTGAGACATCTGGTAGCAATAAAAGATCATCTACATAATACAGTTTGTGTAAGCATTGTGGCTGAACATGTGCCTCAATTTATGACACCATTGAACCCATCCACTGCTGGCGACTTACAGCAAAAGAACGCATTGTGTCACAAATAATAATAAATAAATAAAAACCTTGTATATTACTTCGTGGAACACGGCAATGAGTGGTTCCCAGAATCATGGCATCTTCATCCCATCGTGCAAAGAGAGATTCCGATCTTGAATATGCAGCCAACAAATCTTGAAGAACTGCAAGATACTGTAATGACTGCATGGACACAAATTTCGCAAGAATGTTTTGAGGACGTCGCCAAATCCATACCAAGAGGAACTGAAGCGATTCTAAACGCAAAGGAGCTTCAACTTTGAATTAAAATTGTATACTTTATAAAGTAACCGGTGAGTATAAATATCCAACAAAAGATTTCAATTCCTTCATTGTAAGAAAATACAAACACCGTTTTTGGTTTCAAACATTATTAGGACATATTCTTGTGAAACCTTCCGAAAGAGCAGTGTTGTTGACTGCAAGCATAGAATAGTCTATTCAATAGTAATAATCTATGAATGCATCTTGCCACTCATTACTAAAAGAAAAGGTACCATGAAAAAATATAAGATAAAATATAGTACAATACACGTGATCTTTTATCAGTCACTGGTCATTTTTAGCTATAACTGCTGCACTACACATAAAGATCAATATATTAGCATGTGAAACGCTTTCTTAGAGAACCACACATGAAATAAATTTAGAAAAGCTTAAAGACAGCCAAATGTTATTATGATAAAGAAGCTAACAGCCTTAGATGATTTCGGGATCTATAAAATAACTGAAATAATGAAATATAGAGATAATAATAACGGCGAAATACCGGAAGATCTCAGTAGATCCATCTTCATAGTGATGTCAGAGAAATTAGGTGTATGCAAATGAAGGCAATTTTCATTGGGTAATCAACTTAATTAGTCAGATACTATCGTTAGGATTATAATGAATAGAAAGCGCAGGGCACAACATGATTTTCTCTCGTTCAGTCAGTCATGTGCCATGCGTGATACACACTTAGGCGATCATGTGTCTTTCGATACATGACTGACGAGGCAGATTTTTTCCTGCAGTAGGTTTGTTGTCTCGTTCACCAAGTCGGTCGTAACGATTTCGACTAGTTGCCAAGTTGCGTTTTTTTTTTTTTTTTTTTTTGTATATTTTCTGAAATTAAGAGATTATCGTCCATCTTTTTCGATAATTGTTTTCTCAACACAATATTTACCTTTAAATGTACAGTGCAGCGCTAATTGTATGTACAGTGGAATCACCTTTGTTAATGATGTCAATATCGTTCATTCTAATTTGTTCCATGGAATATAAGCTAAGAGCGAGAATGATACATTTTATATGACGGCATAATAATACACCATAATAAAACATCGAAACACAAACATCTTTTTTGTTTTGTTTTGCTTTTAAAATATGTCGAAGGAATAGCTTCTTTCTTGTTCACATATAATTCCACCCACCGAACAAAGATGGTTTGGGATTTTATGTTAATTTGTTGCTTCTTTTATCTGCATACCCCATGTCAGTAAATCCACTGAAACACAAGGGGTTACAGGGTGCGAAAGAATTAGGAACAGAAACATTAATAATGAGAAAAACAGTAATCAGAAGAACAGTAGATAGCGTTTGACATTGCATTTAAATTTTTCCAGATTAAAGTTGTCTGGAGCCGGAAGTGAGTTCCACAAGCGAGAAGTGCGAGAAAAAAGACTGTTAACTTAGAATTTACGGTTGCATCTAGCCAGCTCAAATGTAAATTGATGAGATCTCGACGCCTGTCTAGTACTGCGCTTAAATTCATAAAGTCTAGGCGCCATTGTGAAAAGATCACCCGTAGAATTACTATCAAAGTATTTATAGAAAAGACACGGGGCGGAGGGGGGCAACCTGACGGCGGTGGGAAAGTAACTGAACCCGTAAAATACCAGATGGAAACGAGAATGATAAGTTTTTAATAAGAGCGTAATACCAATCCATAACAAAATATCGAAACCCGACTATATAATTTTTCTCTTTTAGAACGAATGAATAGTTTCTTTTTCGTTTATATATAATTGTATCTATCAAACGTCGATGAGATGAGATTTTTAGACATAGTAATAAAACAGAAAAGAAAGAAAAAATTCAAACGATGCTAGAGCGAGTAGAAAAGCTACATACTAACGCGATACGAAGGGCGGTTTTAAAGAATAGGAATATGGCAGTTAATGGTGATTGTCTCAGTAATAGCTAGACGACGGATTCGAACAAGGGTTTTTCATGCACAGAAAACGTTAAACAGACAACGTCAGTCAGTTGAGTCGCCATTTTGCGGCGTGTTTCTCCATTTTCGGCAGGTGCAGACATCGTCTCTGTATTTGTTTTATGACTTTCATTTTCCTTAGGGCTAGACGTACATTGTCATCTCTCGCTTTTCCATTCCATTCCATCCATCCATCTCCATCCATCTATCTATCTATCTATCTATCTATCTATCTGCCTGTCTGTCTATCTCCTCGTCTTTCCCTGTTTTGCTTAGTACTTCCGTGTTTTTACTTCCCATTTCTTCGCTGCTGGAATTGCTTGCCAGACCAATTTCTCCGGAGAAAAGAAATACGAAATAAAAAAAAAAGAAAAATAATAAGAAAGAAAGAAAGAAAAAAAAAAAAATATAAAGAACAACGTAAACTGTGAATGGCCGACAGTATCAGCAACCACAGAAAATTGATTGTAACCTAACAGAATATGTGTTTCGAATAAACAAAATGTCTGTTCTAACTTACCACACAATAAGGAAAGAGGAGACAACGAGTGTAAGAATTATGACGTTACCACCAATGACATCCATAGAAGAAATGTTCTTCTCCAATAATCATAAATCCCTACAGGTAAGCAATTTCTTTTCTAGACTCCGTGGTGCGAATTGGTTTTTATAGTTGAGAAAAGAAGTGGAAAGAAAAAGGTAAAGATACAACATAACGTCTATCGGTTAAAGAAAATCTGCTTAGTGATAAGGTTTCTATTAAAGGACAACCATTGATTAAACACCCAGATACTTCTCATCACCTCGACTACGTCTTCTAAGATAATTATAACGACTAGTTATACTTAGCTTGTTTGCATTGTCCGGTCGTAATGCTGCGATACAAAGGGTTAGGATACTATATTTAAGGCGAGTTTTCTCGGCACACAATCATACAAATTGACTTTTCCAAAACAATGCAAACTGATATTTAACAAGTACCGGGGATAAAGGGATTGTAATGCGCCAATCTTTCAAGAGGAGAGATCCTGTCTAGTAAATAAATAAATAAATAAAAAAACATCTTAAATCCAAGCATTTACCACGGCTCGAACACTGACCGCTGTCACTACGCTTCATTATCATCTCACCGAACAGGCACTGAATTTTCTCCTCTTAAGATGAACAGTTCTAATCTTAATGAGGATCCTTGCTTAATGGGACATCTATTGGCACTGAAGATCCATCCAGACCTGAAGTGGAACTTATAAATAGAGTCCCTCGCTAGGATGCTTAAAAAAAAATGTCCAGTTCCTTTTAACGCTTCAGAGAGTATCTGACTCATATCCGTCCTGGATATGACGATAAACTACATCCGGCAGCAAGGCCTCTGATCAGGAAGATTTGAAGAGCGTGGAACCACTTCTTAATTGCTGGTGTTACCAGGTCTACCCTGACCGGGGGTGGTAGCACCTGTTAGGGTCTCAGATATGGGTAAATATTTAACCCCAAAACTGGGTTCAAAACGCTATGAAAGTGTAAAAATAAGTTTTAATACAAGCAATTCAATTTTGGAAAAAAAATATTACCAGCAATAGATTTTTTAAAAATTACCAGATATAAAAATCTTGTCGGCATTAAATAACCTATTGAGGTTACTGTGTCGTAAAACAAAACTGATGTAATGAATATGCATACACCTGGGTTCCCCCCTCACAGTAATATGATTGGCTGGTGTCAGCCATAAATACGGACTGATGTAGAGGTACAAGGGGACGCCTGTTGTCTTCGCCTATTGCCTACGCCTATTGCCTACCAATACGACAAGGACCAGTCCATTATGATTACCTGCTAGATTGTCCTACTCGGTTACAGTAGTCAACAACCACTTTGCTTCTTCGAACAAATATATCCCTTTCCGGGACATATCAAAAACAAACCAAATCAAATCAAACCTGATTCGTACAGGCTCCCTTTCCAAATGGCAGATCATATCAAAACTGCAGTATTGTTACCATATCTGGACTGGAGTTGCTCAAACAGAGTTCAAAAGTGTCTACATGGTCTTCTAGGAGAATTATTTCCCACCTTTTTCAAAGACATAACATCGCAAGCCTCTCGCTACACTATCACTATTTCCATAGCAACGTTCCACATTCCTTAGTTTCAACATGTCCAGACCATTACATCTAAGGTCCGCCAAGCCATGTATACAAAGTTTAATCATTCTCATGCCTTTATAATTCTATACCTAAGAATTCTCATTCGATCAGATTCTTTCCAGTAACTACTACTTTGGCGTATAAACTTCGTAGATGTTTCGTCCACGCTCATGTTAAACTCTTCAACTTTCAGGTTAATAGTTTTTTAACAACCTTATTCAGTAACCCTCTACATTGAGTGGCTCTTGATTCAATAAAACAATAAAAAATTATGTGGAAATAAACAATTCTTTTGTCATGAGTTTTTTACTGTAATGACACTCGCAAGTTTGAGTCAGTGTTACCGTCGGTCGAAATATATGAGGCTTCATGACCATGTAAAAAAAAAATAACAAAGAGAATCTATAGCTGTTTCAATGTTCTATAATGCTCGGGCATTGGAAAAAGTAAGAGCTACAAAGGAAAGGAAGTTGTAGAGAGCCATGATCGCCCAAGTTCTGAAGAGAAAACGTACGTACGAGAAGATACTGTCAGGCTGAAAGTGACAAAAGATAAAGTAAGCAAAAACTATAGATCAACAGAGACTGTGTAATTATCAGTCAGTTATGTGCCATGCGTGATACATGACTGACGAGGCAGATTTTTTTCCCGCAGTAGGTTGCTATTTCTTTCTGAGGTAGACCAATTGCCATCCAAGGCTATGGAACCCAGTCTGTCCTGCTATTTATTCATAGCTGCGGGGAAAAGAAGCTGATTCATACCTTTCCCAAAGGTATTAGCACGTAAGTGAATGTAATGGATTCGACTGGAATTCGAACCTGGCTCACAGATTCCTCAATCCGAGCCGCGATCCATTACTCTACCGTGCCTATAGAAGCCTAATCAATGGCATTAATATAAAGGCAGTTTCCATTGTGAGGTATTTTGGATTCTTCTTAAAATGTACAAGAGAGGAACTGAGAAACGTAGACTGTATGGTAAAGAAGTAAGAGGCTATTTGTTAATAGAAAAGAAGAAGGAAGCGGACAACTTATTATCAAGGAATTCTTGTACGCGGAAAACAGCGGCTATTAGAATACACAAGACGGAGTTACGAACGAATACTGAAAACAAGGAAAAGCTGCTCTAAAATGAACAGATACTCCAGAAAACAAATCAAGGGAAAGACAAATAAATTGACAGAGGGATTGCTATGTGGGGGGGGGTGCATAAAAGAAGAAACTGAATCACTTTTAGTAGCGGCAAAATGCCTTGAGCTTTAATAGTAGAACAACAAGTGTAGACTGTACGGAGATCAATCGCATCATTAACCAGTATGGGCAATTATCCAAGAAAAAATACAAGAATAGGCGCAACTGGAATTGTTGTTCCACTGGGAACCAGACAAGCATTTTGGTCGTATACATTAATGCTATATGCACTAAACACATTTCGCTCCACTGGAAAAAAAATTCTGCAGAAAATTAAAAAAAAAGATGGAGAAGTATCTCGACCTTACCAAAGACTTTTTCTCTCTTTTTTTTTTTTTTTCACAGTGAAATTCACCCTATATAAGGTCCAGGAGCCACTCGAGGTAGAGGGCTAGAGAGTAAGAAGCACAGTTTATGTAGATATGTGAGGAAGATAACGGCTAACGCTAGACTTGAACCGATTCAGATTGTAGTGATCGGGAAAACATCATCTTTGGAGTCGGTTCCATAGAGAAACGCTTCGCGAGAAGAAGCTGCTCGAGTAAATTCCTTAGATCTCACCAATGGAATACGGAGGGAATGCGCGTTACATGGCGGGTCTTAGCTGTGAATGTTGGAGCCGGCGGAACTAAGGTAAGGTCGATCGTCTTAGCACTTTCTATGGAAGTAACGATTGAGCAGTAAAAAGCTTACGATATCTCGATTATGAGAGAGGAGTTGCAGAGTGGAAAATTATTTTGTCACCCACAATGATGCAGAGATGCATTTGGATTCTATTGAGACTGGAAAGTGAGGACTGAGCAGCTGCTGCCCAGATAGAACAGAAGTACTCCACTTTAGGTCTGATCTGGATCTTGTAAAAGTAGAGGATACCAAGAGGTGTCAGGTACTTACTGGAGAGTTACAGGGAACTGACCATTTTTCCTGCATCTTTAGTGATGGATCATATGTACGCGTTCCACTTGAGGTCTGGGGTGAGTTTAAGGCCCAATAGTTGTCCAGGGTACGGGGTCTAACTGAGGGAACATCCATTCGAATAAACTATGAGATATAAAGGTGATGGTTATGCTGATCGTCATAGGAGCACTAGGAACGGTCCTGAAGTGCATGAGAAAAGCTTGAAGAAACTGAAAATCAGAGAAATATTATGGAACGTCCATAAGACAATGTTAATAAGAAAGCATAAAATACTGAGGAGAATGCAGGAGCGATAGAAAATCTCGAGACCTAGAATGTAAAAAAAAAAGTAAGAGGAAAATTTAAGCCAAATACGAATCTACACATTCAAAATAATGTTTCGAACTGTTGTAACCTAGGGAAGGTTACTGAATAGATTTATCAAACGAAGGTTGATAATAAACGATAATACTTAGGACAAGAGCAACGCATATAAGATTCGCCAGCAGTGCGTAGAAAAAGTAGTGAATTAAGTAATTCCACAATGGATCTCCAACTGCAATATATCTATCAACCGTCCCACGCGGTCAGATGTGGCACAAGGCCAAACTTAATATGGGAGCATATTCCCCGTAGATCCCGTATAAACTGGGTCGGGTAGTTGTTTCCCGACACGAGACTCTGCCCTTCGACATAGCTTCGTTTAAGATTGTTAAAATTGTGGCTGCCAGTAGTGAACACTAGTAGTATTTCTAATTCTCTCAGAATCGTCTCCCTGTATAGGTTGAATAAATCCGGTGAGACGAAACATCTTTGTCTTACACCCCTTTCTATTTTGGTATATTTAATGAATTCCTTTTCCATTATCATGCAGGCAGTTTGCTTCCAATATAGGTTCTAGATTATTCTAAAAACCTTCCCAAATAAATCAAGTTTATATAGCAGTTCTGACAGTTCTTTGAGACGTTTGTCAAATTCTTTTGCATAATCTATAAAATATAGTTATAGAACGTTTTGCATTTTTATTGCTCTTTCTTATATCATTCTGAGCATAAATATTGCTTTCCTTGTTCAAGTGTCTTTAACGAAACCGTACCGTTCTCAACCTATTTCCGGTTAAAATTCTACTGCGCGCTCTGTTCATAAGAATTCGGATGATGAGTTTTCTTATGTGGCTCATTAGGCTGATGGAGTGTGGAGCTACTAGTAGTATAAGATATTCTACTTGCGAGATACCCAAAAACATGTCAACCTCCAAACTGACACTCGTTTCGCTTCATGTAACATTCCCTGTTAGATAAGCAGTTTCAACAAATACAAAACATCTAACAATTTCTGGAAGAATCCATTTATTTAAAACCGAAATTGTTCTTTTACAATGGAATACACAATTTAACTGAAAGATAACAATAAACGGAAGCCAAATCTTTTAAAGAGTAACTGATCATGTTCTAAATTTAAATGAATGGAATATATACGAAGCGATATCGGAAATTTTCCGTGCTACGCCTAAAAATAAAACCCCATTAATAAAGCAAAACGTATGAATTTTTCAATAGCGCTCAACATTTTCCCGAATTTTTCCATATTATCTTGCGTCTTGTTGCTTTTTAAATTCTCCTGACCAATATTAAACCAACACTCGATAATTTCTGACACGCACGTGCGACATAAAAAGAAAAATTCGATCTAAAAATGTTCACCAAGACGTTGGCGAAGCAATTTTGGGGTTTAGCAGAAGACTTTCACCGAGTTTCACGCAAAATTACATACAGATACTACGTGAGAATTTTTCAGTCACACTAAAGCTTGCAGAGCCGTTACAACACAACGTTTCAAAATCTCACGTAACGATTAAATGTAAAAGAAAAAAAAATCAATAAAGAAAGAGACTTTAGAAATAGATAGAAAAATCATTAAAAAGTTTTAAAAAAAACATGGTCATGGTTACAGGTCAACCCTTAAAAGTAGAAAGCACCAAGCATTTTGGAAGACGGATTAAGTAGGATGATTACCAACATGAGCTAGTTACATGTACATTTCTGTTAAATGGCACAAAGAATCCAAGAACTTTTCGATGGCAACAGATTTCTCTCTCTCTCTCTCTACCCCTCTCTTTCTCTCTCTCTCTCTCTCTCTCTCTCATTATATATATATATATATATATATTTACTTCAAACGTCATATTTAGTGGATATTCGTATTTAAGTAGACGCTCCGTTTATATTAAACACTATTTCGTCTCCTAGCGTGCGTGCCCGAGAAAATTTAATTAAGGTGTCAAGTTTTCTAGAAGACAAAATAAACGGAGCGTCCACTCACATACGTATATCCACTAAAAATAAACTTTTAAGTAATAAAAATATGTCGAATTAATAAAAAAAATCTATTAATTCTTTGTACATACATACATACATACATATATATATATATATATATATATATATATATATATATATATAAAAGGCAGGATGTGTGTGTGTAACGAATGCACGGCCGCAATTTTCGACGGATTTGCAACAAAATTTACATGCACATGCTCCAAGTTAGCGGAAAGGCCAAGACCGACTTTGCATTTCCCAACTCTCATCGATAGTGGAAATAATCGATTTTTTCATGCTTCTACGACAGTTTTCATGTAGTTTGCGGCCATTTTGAACTGGCCAGAGTGAGAGTCTATAGCTGGCTGCCACGAATAGGCAGGAAGATTCTATTGGCCAGCGTGAGAGCCAACAGCTGACTGACATGAATGTTGACTAGCATGCTAGCATACAAAAAAAATCGATAGCTGCATTCGTCACAAGTGGGAAAAATTTAAATCTGCATGGCACTTTACTCCAATTGACTCATTCGCTTGATTCTGATTCCGCAGAACTGGGTTGGGTGTGAAAAAGTATTTGTTGGTTTTTCTATTTACGAGTCCTTTTTTAAAGCTGATCGTTTTGTGTTCATTTTGTTTAGTTCTTTTTTCTTAACAGATTTAATGTTTAGTATAGAGCTTAGAAAAAATTCGCAATTTGAGATAGGCAAGAAGTAAGGCATATAGTAACATCAGCACGGCAAAGGGCACTCCTTTAAAGGCAAGTGATAGCGATTGCTGTATGAGTTGTACGATTTTTGAATCAACCACGGGCAACGCCGGGCCATGCTGCTAGTATGTATATATTATATATCATATATTTTTCTTATCAAATCTTTTTATTTTTGATTATTATTATTAATATTATGTGATGATATTATTATTATTAATATTATGTGATGATATTATTATTAATATTATGATGATGATGATGATGATGCCGTTTAAACAGACACCACTTTGACTACCTCTTTTTGTGAACTTTATTCAACACATTGTTGTAACTCAGTTTTAAATTTGACCTCACTATCTCTTTATCCGTTATATTAACTTGTTTCCTTTTCTTAATGAAAGCCCCCCCCCCGTACAAAAACGTTTCTCGGTCAATTTATTTTTGCTATTGTTTCATCTTGTATTTTATTTTATTTTATTTTTTTTTAATTTTTCTATTTCATATATGACAAAAGGAAATCATAGAGGAAAAAGCTAGGACTGAAATGACAAGTTTGATAATTATAATTTTGATACTACGGCATGTACCCAACCTACATCTGTTTTCCACGAGAGAAATGAATAGCGTTCTAGCGAAGGTGGAAAAATAATCTATCTATCTATCTATCTATCTATCTATCTATCTATCTATCTATGTGTGTATATGATTGTGCGTCCGCACGCTTATCGCTGTAATCTCTATTTCTTGCCAGTGACATTCAATAAGTGTATTTTACCTGCCTCTTGGGTAATTTTTTTCTTTATTCTTCATCCCCCCCCCCTCTATTTTTCCATAAATACCGAGCTATTTACTAATTCAGCTTCATTTTCTGAAAATTGTTTGCCTTGACGTCTCCTAACATTGAACTACCGGAGACGTAATTGTATATTTGGGTTCATTCATTTCGTTGATGGTCTCCGGTGAAGAAATGAAACGAATCAATGAATAATTAATTGTCTGCGCTCAGGTAAATGTTTTACTTATCAAAATGCAGTCATTGGCTGGCTGGAAAAATATGAATATTGGAAGTCATCACTTTCATGCCTCCACGAGTTTCTTTATCGCAAACATCTTGATCTGCAATTTGTTTTTCACCGCGCGATCAGTTTTTAAAGAACGAAATCATGAAACTGATGGTGAAGAGAAACAAGCCCCTAAGTCATAAAAACTTTTATATACATGAAGCAAATAAAAGTCGAACACATTTCTAATTTCGAAAGAATTCATTCAGTGAATAAACACCAATCTGTAGACAAGTTAAGCTTTGCCTCTGGGTAGTGCTTAATAAACTGATCGCAAAACACATTACTACCGCAGAGAGTTTTATCTTTACTAGATCTTCCAAGCATACAAGTCCATTTGAAGTTATTTATACTATTTACAACGATCGCACTGTTGTCCTCATCTTTATTGCCATATTTACGACGTTTCGCTCGTTGTACGCTCCGGCCTTCTTCAGGTGATTTACGTTGAAATTTCGAACCAAAACCTTTATTTAGTCCACGGGGTAGATTCCACATGTCATACCTTTTTTGTGGGGAGAGGGATATCTCAGTATCAGATAATTCCTTTTAGTAACTCAACTCTTAGCTTTTGTTCCCTCTGCTGTGTCCAGGTATTGAACTCACAACTCTTTGGGCCAAGTCGCTCTTTGGATTACTCAACCAACACTTTTATCCATTTGGCCTTGCTGGATCACTATATTAAGATTCAAAGGCTTCAAATACTTAGCATATATGTTTATCATTTACTCTAATATAGGTAGTCCTCAATTGTTGAAGATTTTATTACCTTGTTATTGAAGTAAAAATTGATTTTCTGGTTTTGCATGATAATTTCAGGCTGCAGTTTTTATAATAATTCCAATAACTTTAATAAAATATGTTAAAGCTACGTGGAAAATTTAACTCAAGTTTTATTTTGACGCCTAAACTATTCCGTTACAATTTTACAAAAAATCTTTCAAAGCAAATTTGAGTTATTGAGGTTTGTGTGATTTGCATGTTTTGTTGCTGCATTTTGGTTAGAAATAATAAAAAAAATATTAATAAGCATTTAGACACATTTTTTCGTAAGTCTTAATTATCATGTGATATATTTATCTCTCATACAGGATGTCCCAAAGCTCACTTAGGTATTTAAAATGTCATTATATGTCAGTTTTTAATATTTTTTTGTCTAAACTTAGATTATAATCGGGAAATTGCCCATGGAAAAATTCACAACTTAGTAAAAAGCCAAAGCAGTATAATTTTATTTTGGATTTAACCAAACTTTTGATCATTGGATAATTACTAGAAATTCCGAAATTTTATAGCCACTAATTTCTCCTGATCTAACTCCTCACAATTAATTTATTTGGGGATGCTTAAACAAGTATGTATACAGCAATAAGCTACTGGCAATTCAGCCACACATGGATAATGTCTCTGAGGAAATTAAACAAAATCGAAAGATCGCGTCCGTCTGAAGTCAAAAATAGAGGATACGTTTTCATAATTAAAGGAGAATAAAATTCCAGTGTTTGAATTTTCATTTTGTATAAAACTAATTTTAAATAATAAACAAATGTTAAAGTTGGTGGGTTTTTTAAATCCCTAGGTGACTTTGATATTGTATATAGATAATAGGTAAAAGTATAGCCGAAAGCGATCGGACATACACAAAATATGGACAATTCTTACATAACTTACGCCCAGAAAGAAGAAAATTATAAGAACATAAAAAAATTAATAAAAAAAACTTAACCGCAGTACCTTGTCAGTTGTTTTTAATGAAACTGGTATAACTTGCATAAAAGAGGGATTGATGCCCAAATAATAATTATATATATATATATATATATATATATATATATATATATATATATATATATATATATATATATATATTCTGTGTATTTAGGCAACAAATGGTCTTAAAGGCAAATTAAAGAAACCATGATGTTTTGTGTCGATTAATTTTAATGATCAACTTTCTCAAATTACGAACAATCCTTCTCAGATCCAGAAGAAAATTCCATCAGAAATTGTCCTAAGTTCATTTTAGAAGAAAAAGTACAAGAAATATGGTTCAAGCCTATATATTTATATTAATGAACTTTTAAAATCTGACATTATTTCATATTAGAGAAATTAACGTCAACCGGCCTAAAAGTCGAGAAGTACTCACTAACGAAAAATCGATGGAAGAAAAGAGTACAGATTGAATTCATGCCGGGAGGTACGGGTTTCGTTCGTAAGGACTTCTCGATTTCTATACCAGATGATATTAATTTCACTGTTTAAAATATAATATATATCAAGAAGAACATGTGTACCCTCTAAAAATAACGTTTATACGCGGTGGCCGCTGAAAGACTGAATAATATAAAACAAAAATAACTTTTACAAACACATGAATATCTTGGGGTAGTAAAGTTTGGACCATTTGAATCTTGTATTGAAACATTTTTAAATCCAGTTTCAGAATCTCCTGAAGTGATGTTCTGGTGATGCCTAGTTGAGCAGGACGATGGTGAGTAGAAGCTGATGGATCCTCAAGGACACTCTGACGTACAACTTCCACAGCTGCGTGAGTGCACACAGTGTGCTTAGGACATGTTCCCTGAAGATCGGTGACTGATCCAGTTCTTCCAAACGGAACGATTAGGTTCCGAATAATGTTATCGCAAGGAGATACTCTGAGTTTGAATAATTGAAAATCATACGTAGCCATTTTAATCTTCAAAGAAAAATACCAAAATTTTCATATATATATATATATATATATGTGTGTGTGTGTGTGTGTGTGTGTGTGTGTGTGTGTGTTTGTGTGTGTGTGTGTGTGTGTGTGTGAAAATTTTAGTATTTTTCTTTGTGCGGCATGTTACAGAGTCCTGTTGCCAGGCATAGGGTCTTCTAGCAGTCACTCTCTTGACACAGGGCAGCATTACCTCCCCAAGACACTTGATGTAGGCCCCCGTGTTGAGTCTGAGTCCCACATCAACAAATTCGGGAGTGCTTTTCCAAAGGAGTTTCCCAAGGTCTTGTGCGAAAATGAATGATGGCGTAACGTCGCCACCACTAGTGATCACTTCGTAATCACCATTAGACTCATCCAACACTTTCTGAACCTGCTGTACTATCCTCAGATTGACACCCAACACGCTGAAATGTTCGGCTTCAGGCGCGAACGCCAAGCAATACAGTATACTGAGTAATTGCGTCACTGATTCTTTTCTCACAGACGGTGCCCAACTGATCCTATTGTAATCTGCAATCGACAAAATCAAAAGTAAACAACGCGCATGCGCGAAATTAAAATATAAAATGGCGGTAATTTAATAATCGCACAAAGTATGTGTGTGTGTGTGTGTGTGTGTGTGTGTGTGTGTGTGTGTGTGTGTGTGTGTGTGTGCGTAAGAAAGATTGTGTTTCACAAAACACACTATCGACCGGTGTATTTCGAGAAGATAACACTTTCAAGGCAAGTCGTTTGTGTAATTATAGTGATCCCTATCATGAGGAAGGGCATTGAAAATAAAAAAAAAATCCAATCTTCGTTTATCTGTCACTAATTTAAGTTTCGTGAAGATTACATCAATTTTTCAGGCGTCTTGATAATAACATCATAACCTAAATATATCCAAGTAGTTCACTTCATTCAATAAAATCATTAAAAAAGAACAAACTTACAATTAGTTTTTCAAGTAACGCTATGATTTCAGTAACTAAATTCAGTTTTATCAAGAACTATATAATCACCTTTTCTATCACGTCGTGCGTTTAATTTATTTTGAAATAATAAAGCGTTCATTAATTTTTAAAAAGAAAAAAGCCTTAGGAAACCAAATGACCGACCATAGCCTGAAGATACCGAAAGGTTGAAACCAAGGTAGCGGATTTGGTTAATCTCTTCATTGTTATACCTATAAGCTCTACATGTATTCTTTATTTTTTTTATACGTGTATTGAGCACTCTTTAATACTACTGTTTCCTGGTTTAATTCAACTCTGACCATTGACTTTTTTGACTATACACACACAAACTCACACACACACACAAATATATATATATATATATATATATATATATATATATATAGGGAGAGAGAGAGAGAGAGAAAGAAGAGAAAGAGAGAGAGAGAAAAATATAGATATATATAGAGAAAAGGGAAATTATCTTAGCCATTGTGTTTCGTCCGCTGATAGATCTTATCCAGGCAAATGTAAGGATTTTATTTTGGAACATGTATTTATAAACAAAAATAAAAGTATCGTTAGTTTTTCTAAAAAAAAATGAATTTAAGAACGTTCATGAATATTCATCAGGCTAACTGAAGGGTTTATATAAATTATGGAGGATGCTAATGGCGTCATTTAAGGTCTAATAAACAAAAGTAATTTTTTTTAAATAATGTAATTAATTTTTATATTATTTAGTCTGTGATTAATTTATACATTATATATTTTAAATAATAAAAGGTTGTTAATTTAACCGTTTTCTTTTAATTTTTTAACATTTTTATAGTCATGTATGTTGTCTTCAGAAAGTAGTAATTCTTTCAGGAATGGAGATATTTGAAAAAATCCGGGACGCAGATTTATAATCTGATGAAATTCGATAGCGGCACTCTCAAGAATTTTCTGTCTAAATAAGTTACTTTCTCTTTTAATAAATGTGACATTCTTTAGGTCGAAGTTGTGTTTTAATTTATTTCTATGTTTAATTAATGCATTTGATAAATTGTTGCGTATAAGATCCTTTTTGTGTTCATAGACATTTTTTTTAAATTTCTGCAAGTTTCCTCAGTATATTGTGAAGAGCAGTTGTGACAACTGTTACAGAGCGTGGTGGCAAAAGAGGCGTGAAAGAGGAAAGGATGAAGAGAAGGACGGGGAAAAGATCAAGGCACATGGAAATGCCTATTGACATTGCATTTGAATAGTTGGAGATTATAGCTATCAGCGAAACAAGTAAGAGGAAGGGAGTTCCACGGGCAGGAAGTGCGAGACATGAAGCTATTGGAGTAGAAGAGACGGCTAAATTTAACCGTTTCTACAGTGAATGGGTCGGACTAAGATGTCAGCCTAATAGCACGTTTACACTCATGGAATCTGGGAACTAGCGAAAATAGCTCGTCAGAGCAGTTACCGTGAAAGTATTTGTAGAGAAGACAGAGGGAGGCGACGGCACGTCTGTGAGAGAGCAACTGTAGACGAGATGCCAGATCAGGCCCAGTCACATTGCATATCGGTCTCTGGATTTTATCGAAGACCTTAAGACGAACAGCGGGGTCCCAGACCATATATGGTAGCAGTATTCCATGCAAGGGCGAATGGTTGATTGAAGGATGGACTCGAGCGAGAAAACTTTCTGGCGCGACACAAAGAATCAACTTTTCTTTGCGGTAAATGAAGCTATTGATTCAATGTATTTGTTCCATCTCAGGCCAGCAGACTGTGAGACCAAGCAGTCTCAAAGAGGTGCTCTCGTGGTGTTGAGCATCAGACATTCTAATGGGAGGCAGTGGGGGGTCCACTGTGGTGTGTAAAATAGAGCAGTTTTGTTTTTGAGGCATTAAAGTTAACCAGCCATTTCTAGGTATTTATATTTGTGTGTGTGTGAGTTTGTGTTAAAATATAGTTTTATTGTATGTTATACTTATTGGTAAAAGTGGTGAATATCAAAGATAGTGTGTATGTACAGTGCTGATCGATAAAAGTGACTCACCTTTTACATCCTTTGAATTTAGCTCAACTTTCGTTTCATCGGAGAAGAGAAAATTCTTCCAGTCTTCTACGGTGAAATTTTTTAATAGTGAGCCCATTCTAGTCTCTTGGCTTTGTTGGCTTTTCTTATTAGCGGCTTAAACCTTCGTGTACAAGATTTGTAACCTTGTTCTAACAAGATTTGTAACCTTGTTCTGACGGACTGTTGAAGAGGCAAGACTAACACCTTGCTCTTCGCTTAGACTGGCTGCAATTTCTTAGCTAGTTATAGTCCTATTCTTCGCAACTGCTCTCTTGATTACCCTGCCAGTTCTATCATCAATCTTTTTCTTTCGTCCCCTTGTTTCCTTCGTTGGAGCAGGAATGGTATAATTATGTGCCCTAAGCACTCGAGAGACATTTGATTGCGAAGTTATAGCAATTTCTGCATTTTTTTTCTCGTAGACTTGCCTGCTTTTGAGAGGGCAATAATAGATGCCTTAAGTGGTTCTGATGCGTGTTTGTACCCTTTCATCTGGTTAGTGACTTGAGTGGCTATTTCAAGCTGTTTTTATACTGTATGAGGCTTTCTGGAATATTCTGGAATACTCTAGATTTAATTTAAGCTGTTCTAGAATTCTCTACAATATTGTTCTGAGTGTATTGTAAAATAGTTTTCAATATTTTGTCAAAAGCTCTTTAAATTTACCAGTTTAATTATTAGAATGCCATATCTAAGTCACTTTTTTTTTGCGCAGAGTTTTTTCCTGAATCTCGTTTATATCCAAATTTATAATTATCAATAGAATACCTTAGGGTGAATAATCTTTTTTCC